AGTGCTTCTCACACCTCGCTGCTGCTGAGAGCTCAGCCTGTGCTCCTGTGCAGCCCTGGGGTGCAGCAGGGCCGTGGCTCTGCGTGGGGTTGGATTCCCCCGGTGCAGGATGCTCTGCTCCTCCGCTCGCTGACGCTTGCGCTCCCTGCAGGTTTCACATGGACCCTTCAGGGACCTTCGTGCAGTGCGATGCCAGGGCCATCGGCTCTGCCTCGGAGGGAGCGCAGAGCTCGCTGCAGGAGGTGTACCACAAGGTAAAGGCTGAGGGCAGGGAGCTGCGCCAGGCCGGGCCTTGGCAGCTGCTGCAGCCATGGGATGTGGCACGGAGCTGCTCTGTGTGAGCAGCACAGCAACAGCAGCCTCTCTGCAGGCTGGGGCTGCTCAGCAACACGAGCCTGGTGTGCAGCGTGCCGGGCTGCGCCGCCAGCAGGTGATAATTGAGCCCGTGTCAGGAAGCACTCTATAAATAAGTGCTGCTGCACGGCCGGGCTGCATTGGGGCTCCGTGTGGCTGCAGCCCAGAGGGGAAGGAGCAGAGCGAGAGGCAGAACGTCCTTCCCCCAGGTGTGCAGCTCCGAGCAGCCGAGCTGATGGCTTTTTGAGCCCTCGTCATATCTGATATTCAGAACCAGCTTTCTCCTCTCTGTGGGAGGGGAGCTGCCTGCTCCGTGTCAGAGGAAATCAAACGCTGTAATGAAAAGCATAATTAATGCTGTTGATTGCCTTGAAGACTTTCAGCCTAAGCCTCCATAATCTAATTAAGCAGCAGAATTGCCAGCGTTCTGTGTTCCGTGGCTCATTCACCATCTTCCCAGCGCAGTTACTGCACACACAGCCATCATCCATCTGAACGCTGTGCAGCCTTCTGGCTCTGGCTCCCCTCATGCAGGGATTTGTGTTATTAAAGCACAAAGGCTTCTGCCAGCAGCCCGGCTCGTGGGGGAGCTGCTCGGTAGGCAGTAAGCAGTGAAGGGAAGCGGGCCCTGGTGCCCTGCTCCTCACAGGAAGGTTGGAGAGCCCAGCTTAAGGGCTCTTAAGCTTCAGAAGAAGAGATACAGGAGCAGGAAGTCGCCATCCTTGAAATCGTCGCTGTCCTTCCCAAGCAGCGTGCTTTGATCTCCTGTTGATACAGCAGATAACTTGATAAGCTTTTAAATTCACTGCCAGTGGCAGCTTAAGGGATTAGAGAGGAGAAGCAGGGAGAGCAGCGCGCTGCTGCAGTTAAAGGGGTAACGGAGGAAACGCTTCCTTGGGCATCAGCAGAGCGGTGAGGGAATGCTTTGTGCTTTGTTTCACAGTCCATGACGCTGAAAGAAGCCATCAAATCTTCCCTCGTCATCCTGAAGCAAGTGATGGAGGAGAAACTGAATGCAACCAACATTGAGGTAAGCGGGGATCCGTGAGCGGCTGGGGGCGGCCCTGCGGTTTGAACGGCCTGCTGGCAGCGGGGGGCTGGGGAGCATTGGGAGCCTGGGTTTGGTTTGTGGATGTGTGCAACCTGCCTGCGTGCCGGGCTGCCCAGCAGTGCTGGTGCAAGCAGTGCTGGGCTGCAGGGCCGCATGGGGGTGAGTGCAGGCCCTGCTGCCCTTCCCCAAGCCGAGCCAGCTGCCGTGCCAGCAGGATCGCTTCTTCTTCCCCCGTGTTCAGCCATTCTTTTTTCCCCTGCCACTCGTAATATTAGAAGGAATGAAAATCATACAGCTCCTGGACTTGCTATATACAGGCCGGGATGGTGGCCAAAAATCCCTCGGGCAGAAGGGCTGGAGAGGTGAAGCCTGCAGGAATGGCTGTGCTGTGCCAAGCTGCAGCCCTCGCGGGGCTCAGTGCCAGGCAGTTGTGTGCCGGCCCTGCAGCCTCCGTGGTGCTGCTCAGGTAGTGATGGTCAGCATGGAGACCAGCAGAACCTTCCCAGCTCCTTAATGATAACGGGCAGACGAGGAGCGAGGCTGGTGGATAGAGTTTGCTTCTATTTCTGGCAGGCTATGAGATGCCAGACCTTTCAGAATCGTGTTGTTCTGACTCTGCTCCTGCTGTTCTCCCATTCCTGTCCTCTGAGCTCTGGCAGTCCGTTTCCCAAACAGCCTTCAAGTCTGCACCCCGTGGTTTTTATTAACTGCTGCTGCTGGAGGCTCTCCTGACTCAACTGCCTTCATCAGGAGGGAAGGAGCCACGCGCTGCTCAGAACGATGCCAGGCCGCCTTCTGCTCCCCAGCTGCTCCCCATCACACGCAGAGCAGCTCGATCCTGAGCAGCTTCAGGGCTCCTCTGCTGTGCAGCGAGGGGCACGGAGGCAGTGCTGATGTACAGCATCCTTACGGCCCCGTCTGACAGGGCTTAACTGTGCTTGGCAGGGCTCTGAGCCTGTGGAGGAATCGCTGGGGTTAAGCACGAGAGGAATGTGCTGAGGATTAAAAGGTCGCCATCGACTCAAGTCGCCCTTCTGCTTGAAAATCTTTCACTGGCGGAGCTGCTTTGCTTTCCAGCTTTGCACGACTGTGCCGTGCTCTGCTTTTTAGGCCCTCTTTCCTGCGTGGGGTTTTTCCAGCAAGGGGAAGAGGAGGGGATGTGGTGATGGGAGAAGCAGAATCCATGGGCACCAATGGAGCCTGAAACGGTTTTATGCTTTCATGTGAATTATTCCCTGCGAAGGCTGGAAGGGAAGGGGGGGGTTGGTGGAGTTTTGGTGCCAGGTCGGCACGTCTGCATGATTTGGGCTCTCTGGGGGCATCTGGAAGCCTGAGGAGCTCCCTTAGCAGAGCATCCTTCCCCAGCGAGCAGCAGCGGGGCCTGGGAGCTCCCCATAGATGTTCCCTTCCACTGCTACTATGAGGAGACTGAGTCAATTAAAAGCTATTTCTGTGGCAGGCTGCTATTTTAGGGAATCAAAGAGCGTGTTACGGGGTGGGATGATCTTGCTGGGCTGGCAGATCAGGCAGCAGGGAAGGAACAGCTGCTCCGTCTGCTGCTCTCCGTTCCCTGCCCCGTGCTGTCACTGCACATATGTGGGCACACTTCACCCCTTGCTCCTTCTCTTTCAGCTTGCCACTGTGGAGCCGGGCATGAAGTTCCACATGTACACGAAAGAGGAGCTGGAAGAGGTCATCAAGGACATCTGAAAGGGACAGAGCCTCCCTCGAAGGTTCATTCCCCCGATCAAAGCGAACTGACTCTCAGTTCCTTCCAGTACCTGCGATTTTATTTCCAGCAGCATCTGTAATTGCTCTTCTCGGAAGGCTCTTATGGTTTTTTTACAGTCTCTGTACATAATGGATCTCTACAGTAAGAGGAAATGACAATAAATCATTTTGTTACTCTATCCTGGGTTCCTGGAAGGAGGAGGGGGGGATTCCTGAGGGCTGAGCACAGAGCAGGTGAGGACAGCATCGGCACGGCCGGGCTGCAGCGCCTGCCTGCTTCAGGCACGAGTCTCCCTCTCGTGGAGGCCGCAGCGCTCCTGTTTGCTGCAGCCCTGACCTGGGAGCGCAGAGCAGTGAACCTTTGCTCCCCAGCTGAGCAGAACTCGTGGCTTCTGCTGCTGCCGTCTGTGTCCTCCACGTGGTGCCCGGGAGCTGCAGCTCGGTGCAGGCATGGCGACGTGCACAGCACCGCCCCACAACCACAGCTTCACCCTACCAGCACCCAGCCCTGCAGGCAGCAGCGCCAGCACCAACCCTGTGCCTCCCACCCCAACGGAGACGTCGCTGTGTTGGCAGAGGGGAAAGCACCCATCTATTAACTTTTTTCCTCTCTTGCTGCTGCCAAACAGATGCAGGAAACGCGACAGCTGAGTCCCTGCCCCATTCCTTTGCAGAGCCGAGGGGCAGTGCCAGCCCTGCAGTGCCTGTGGACTTTGTCCTTTGGGGCCACATCCCTGCACCAGGCTCGGGCTGCTGCCCCATCCGCTGCCTCCCTGCTGTGCTGCTCCTCACCCTGTTTGTGTCCCGGGGAACAAAAAGCCGATTCTTCCAAGCCGGCCCTGTGATGGAGAATGACCCTTTGTGCCCTGTTCTGGGGCAGAGCGGGGCACGGTGCTGGGTGTGCAGCTGGGGGGGCTCAGAGGCTTGGGGCAAGGGCATGGGGATGTGGAGATGTGGGGCAGCTTCCCCTGGGAGAGCATGTAGGGTCTCTGGATGATGAGCTGTGCCCCCAAAACCAGGAGTTCTGCCCTCAAACTGACAGTTTTGGCCCCAAACCACGAGCGGGGTCCGAAAATTAGGAGCTATGCCTTAAAATGAGGAGCTGTGGGCCGCAGCTTGGAACGGGGTCCCAAAACCGCGAGCTGTACTCCCCCAAAAATGAGAGATTCGCCCCCAAATCGGGTGTTGTGCCCCCAAACCGGGTGTCCCAAAGCTGGGCGCTGCGTCCCCCACTGCCGCCCCATAACCGCACTTATAACGCCCCACAGCCACGTGCTGCGCGCTAAAACCGGCTGTTTTGCCCCACAGCCGGCAGTTCTGCCCCCAAAACCACGATTTATGCCTCCAAATCAGCTGCATCCCAAAACCGGGCGCTGTGCCCCACGCCTCCGAAATCAGGAGTTTTACCCCAAATCCCTGAGCGCCGCCCTTGTCGTCGTTCCCCCCCGCCCCCCAAGTCCGGCTGGGCTCGGCGCGCCCCCACGCCCAGCTACCTGTCGCCTCGACCAATCAAAAAATCGCTCGGCCGCCCCCCGGTCACAGCCAATCAGAGGGCTGTCGTTAGGTGGATAAGAACTCACGGGCCGGATGAGAGGGGCGGGCTCGCACCCATCGGACTAGCGCCGAGAGCCAATCGCGACAGGAGAACGGTGATGATTGACGCAGAAGAGAGCTAATCGGAATGCTACCCCGGTGGAGGCGGTTCGCCGGTGTTGAGCGACGTCCTCTTGAGCCAGTCACCCGGCGGGGGCGCGGCGAGGGGGCGTGCCGCGGATCTCTGTTAACCAATGGGGCGTGGCGGACAGGCGAGGAGGCGGGGCGAGGCCGGTGCGGGCGCGGGGCGGCGGCGGCGACCGGAGTCGCCATGGGCCCGCGCGGGGCGGCGCGGCTGACGGTGGCGGTGGCGGCGGTGGCGTTGGCGGCGGCTCTGCGGGCGTCCACGGGCGGAGGGCAGGAGGAGGGCGGGGAGGGCTGCGGGGGGCTGCGCGGCGTCACGGCCGTGCTGGGCAACAACACGCACCAGGTGAGCGGCGGGCGGGGCGGGCGGCGGGCGGCGGGACGGGAGGAGAGAGGGACCCCCGCACCGCCACCGCCCGGCGGCCGTGGGACGGACGGGAAGGAGTCGCCCCGCCCCCCCCCCTCGGTGTGACAGCGGGCGGACGGACGGACAGAGCGAGGCAGGGAGGGACGGACGGACCCCGGGGCGCGCACCGGGCTGGGCGGGGGACGGACGGACGGACGGACGGACGGACGGACTGACGGACGGGGAGCGCCTTGCCGCCTCCTCCGGTGCAGACAGAGGTCGGTTCTGGAGCCGGTAGGGCGGCTGGACAGACAGGCGGACAGCGGCTGTTGGTGACCCCGTCCTGCCTGGGTGGGACAGACGGACAGACGGACAGCTCCGTCATGCGCCTGTGGATGCACGGACAGACGGACGGACGGACTCACAGACAGCCCCGTCCCGCAGCGCAGGGTGCCCCACCACAACCGCCCCCCCCCCCCCCCTCCTTACAACGGCGTCCTCCGCCACCGCTCCCCGCAGGGTGCGCCCGCTCTGCCGGCCCGGCCGGTCGTTAATTGTCGCTAATTGGCACCCGGGGACGGGCGCCGCTGGGACGCACCGGGAGCGCGGAGTGGGACGTGGGTGGCGCGGCCCGGTGTCGCATTCGGTGTCCACGCCGAGGTCACCGCTCAGCCGGGGCTCTTTTCCATCCCTTCCCCTTTTCCCCATTCCCTCCTCCTTGCAGGGAGGCGCGGGGCGGCGCTACCCGTGCGGGCGCTGTTTGAGCAACGGGGACGGCGGCGGTGGCCTCATTTCCTCCCCTTCCTGAGCAGAGCCTCCCCGCCCCGCCGCCAGCACCGACCGCTCCCCGCACCCCCCGACCCCCCCATCCCCGTGCCCTGCATCCAACTCCCGGGGTTGGGGACGCTCAGGGGCTCCGTGTCCCCATCCCTGCGCTGCACAACGGAGGCCATTCCTTCCTTCTCTCTCTCAGTGCGTCTTCGACGACCTCAGCGGCTCCGTGTCCCTGTCGTGGGTGGGCGATAGCACGGGGGTAAGATGGGGCTGAGGGCTGCGGGTGCCGCTGCCCCGCTGAGGGGCTGTGGGGTTGGGGGACCCCCGGTGCTGAGCCCTGCACGCTGTGCTCCTGCAGGTCATCCTTGTGCTGACCACGTTCCAGGTGCCCTGGGTGATTGTGATCTCTGGGCAGTCCAAGCTGTACCGCAGGTACCGACCCCCCCCCCCCCCCCGGATCAGAGGGGGGGGGGGGAGTCTTGCAGGCAAGACCACCAAGGGGGTCCCGGTGGTGCTGACAGCTGTGCCGTGTGCATCCCGTTACAGTGAGGACTATGGGAAGACCTTCAAGGACATCACCAACCTCATCAACAACACCTTCATCCGCACCGAGTTTGGCATGGCCATCAGCCCCGACAACTCGGGGAAGGTGGGAACCCCATGCCTTGACCCACACCCTCAACCCTAACCATTAACCCCAACCCCCAACTGAAACCTTGACCCAAACCCCCAACCCTGCCCCTTAACTTCTACTCCCAACCCAACCCCTAAACCCTCCCCATTAGTCCCTACCCCTAACCCCAACCCCAACCATTCACCCCTAACCCAAGCCCCCAACCAAAACCCTGACCCAAACCCCCAACCCCTCCCATTAACCCCTACCCCTGACCCATAACTGAAACCCTGACCCCTCACCTAACCCCTAAGCCTAACCCTTAACTGCTAACCCAAACCCCTGGCACTCAGCGAGGTTTCAGTGCTGAGCCCTGTGCTGTGTCCCATCCCAGGTCATCCTGACAGGTGATGTCTCTGGTGGCAGCCGCGGCGGCCGCATCTTCCGCTCATCTGACTTTGCCAAGAACTTTGTGCAGACCGAGCTGCCCTTCCACCCTCTGGCACAGATCTCCTACCACCCGCAGGACTCCAACCGCCTGCTGGCACTCAGCACCGACGTACGGCCACAGGGCTGGGGATGTGGTGGGGAGGGGGAGGTGGAGGGGAGGGGGATATGGTGAGGATGAGACGGGGGGGGGAGGGGGAGGGGGTGGGGAGGGGGGTGTTGGGGGGACGGGGACTGGGGGGGGATGGGGGACGAGGGGAACACAGTGGAGAGGGGGACGCGGCGAGGATGGGGACAGAGCCGTGCCATTGATGAGTGGAGTTCGTCTTTTGCAGAATGGCCTCTGGGTCTCCAAGGACTTTGGGGAGCGCTGGGAGCAGATCCACAGAGCTGTCTGCCTGGCCAAGTGGTGAGCGCCCGCCCGGTGTCTGCGGTGCCGGGACGGTGCTGCCCCGTCGCTGCCTCCATCACGGCTCTCTTCCAGGGGTGCAAACGACACCATCTTCTTCACCGCCTACCTGAACGGCTCCTGCAGTGAGTGCCGCCCCCCCGCTGTCCCCGCAGAGCGCGGGGCGCCCCGTTAACCCGCCGCCCCTTGTCCCCAAGAAGCTGACCTCGGCTTCCTGGAGCTGAAGAAAACCACCGACTTCGGCAAAACCTTCAAAGTCATCGGCACCAAGATCTACTCCTTCGGGCTGGGCGGCCGCTTCCTCTTCGCCTCCGTCATGACGGAGAAGGTGGCCGCCCCCTCCCTGCGCCCCTCCATCGGCGCATGGAGGAGCTGGGCTGAGGCTGTGGGTCCTGCAGGGCTTCACGCGGCGCATCCACGTCTCGCTGGACCAAGGTGAGAGCTGGAGCATGGCGCAGCTGCCCTCCGTCGGCCACGAGCAGTTCTACTCCATCCTGGCTGCCAACGACGACCTGGTGTTCATGCATGTGGATGAGCCGGGCGGTGAGCGGGGCTGGGATGAGGAGGGGATGTGGAAGGGGTGAGGATGGGGGTGGGATGGGGATGGAGGTGTGATGGGGTGAGGAGGGGGATGGGGTGAGGAGGGGGATGGGGTGA